GATTCTGTACTTTCAAGTTGGGCACTTAGAAGCCAACAACCATACACCCTCACCACATTGTAGCAACTCGGGTCAGCCAGTTGCTCAGTTTAGAGTTACCAAAGCCGGGGCGCCTGGGTGGCTCAGTTGGTTAGGCGACTGCCTTCGGCTCAGGTCATGATCCTGGAGTCCCGGGATCGAGTCCCGCATCGGGCTCCCTGCTCGGCAGGGAGTCTGCTTCTCCCTCTGACCCTCTTCCCTCTCGTGCTCTCTATCTCTCATTCTCTCTTTCTCTCAAATAAATAAATAAAATCTTAAAAAAAAAAAAAAAACATTTAGAGTTACCAAAGCCTAGATAGTAGGGATTAACCCCTTTAAAAAAAAAGCAGGTAAGGAATGGTCCTGGTTCCTAAACTCAGGACTTGCTGTTGCCAGTTGTACTTTCATCAGAAGGAAACCTCTAACTCAGCCTGAAGCTGCTATCATTAATCATTCAAAGGTGTGGTATGATTCTGACTACAAGCTGGACTAGAGGCTCCGTGCAGGTTTGGGAGAAGTTACACTCTTGTGGTTTGACTAACCTTTTTTATGAGTGTGTTACTAAAGAAACGTGAGCTCTTGGCTTTTCAATTACTGTAGCTTACCCCTTCTGGGTTTCATACACATTGAGTCATCATGTCTACAGGTGACTGATAATCATCTGCACTACTCAAGTTACCGTAACTCAGAGATGAGGGGATCTGATGATTGCAGGTTGCGTGCACGTGAAGATCTGAGGCTCTCCTGTCTTCACAGTGAACAATGGTCTGTCTTAACCACAGAACTCAGTCACATATTTCCACTCATCCAGGGCTGTATTTTCCTCTTACTGTTTTGCCTCTTACAACTTTAGCACTCAGCTGTCTTCTGACATGTGCTGCAGGTGGTAGACACTGTGAAACTGTAGGCCTAGTTCAGTAAAGCAAACTCTTGGGAGAAAGGATAAAAGCAGAGTTTGTGATGTGCCTGCCCCACCCCGGAAACCTTCTGGAACCTCTCCGTTAGATGAAAAGATAAAAAGATTCTCAGGGACCCCTGGTATTTTAGGAGTAGAGTAGAGCCAGCCACACTGGAAAATCATCAATGACCTCAAAAAGGCCAAGAAACCAAAGTTCATCATCTCTGTGTCACTTTCAGGGGAATGAATATTTGTGACCTTAGCTGGCTTTCATGTTCTTAGCCTCACTCTTTCAAACAGCTATCAAAGATATATCCAATCTGGAAGTTGAAAATAAGAACCACTGATGACTTTGGCAAAGGTCTACTTTTCTGTTGCTTTTTTTTTTTTTTTATTTGAGAGAGAGAGAATGGGAGATAGAGAGCATGAGAGGGAAGAGGGTCAGAGGGAGAAGCAGACTCCCTGCTGAGCAGGGAGCCTGATGCGGGACTTGATCCTGGAACTCCAGGATCATGACCTGAGCTGAAGGCAGTCGCTTAACCAACTGAGCCACCCAGGTGCCCTTTCTGTTGCTTTTTATTGAGTTGCCAAGGCAGGGTGTTTTTCTTTGCAGATTTTTTCTCTCAGGTATTTGTCTAGAAACTGTCGGGTTGGCCTTAAGGTAGTGTGGATGCAGGACAAATCCATCTTACTCAATTAGATCTTCTAGCTGGTCTTTCTGGCTCCAAGTCCTCACTGTTCTGGTCTTACACTTTGCTGTTCCATTAATATTCTGAAAATTACATTTTGACACAAGCCTCCCTTGCTCAAGGGCATGAAGCGGGTAGCTCTTCGTTCAAATCTAAATCTTATGGTTGGTCATTCAGAATGCCATAGCACGTGTTAACTTTTTTCAATATCTCCCCAGATCTGGGATGCAAAATGCTAGGAGACCCACAGGGCAAGAAAATTATTTTGTTTTTTAGTTCTCTCTCAATCTTCCTGATTATACCAAGGAAAAAGATTTAGACTTAATTTGGATGTTAGTTTTCTTTCACACTAATCTCACACTTGGTAATCTCTGTGTTTTTTTTTTTTTTTTAAGATTTTATTTATTTGACAGAGAGACACAGCGAGAGAGGGAACACAAGCAGTGGGAGTGGGGGAGGGAGAAGCGGGCCTCCTGCCGAGCAGGGAGCCCAATGTGGGGCTCAATCCAAGGACCCCGGGACCATGACCTGAGCCGAAGGCAGATGCTTAACGACTGAGCCACCCAGGCACTCCAGTAATCTCTGTTTTTAACAAAGATTGGGGATCTTGTGTCCAGGTAGTCACAGTATCTGATCAAAACTTAAATAAATCGTTCTGTTTCCTTGTCTTTATTTTTCATAGTTACCTTCTATTTGTGGTGAGTCTAGCTTTCTGTTTATGTTAGTGATAGAAAGTTTACTTAAGAAGCAAATTCATGGGCGCCTGGGTGGCTCAACTGGTTAAACGTCTGCCTTCAGCTCAGGTCATGATCTCAGGGTCCTGGGATCAAGTCCAGCATCAGGCTCCCTGCTCAGCGGGAAGTCTGCTTCTCCCTCTGCCCCTCCCCCACCCCTCACCCCTACTCATGTGCTCACACATGCTCTCCCTCTCTCAAAAATAAATAAAAAATCTTAAAAAAAAAAAAAAGCAAATTGATTTTAGCAGAAAAAAAAAGAAAATGTGAACTGATTCCAACGAAACAAAACACCCTAACATTTACCAGGTGCTTTCTATGTACCAGGCATTGTTCCAAGCACTTCCCAGTGACCCTGGGAGGTAGATACAGTTATTATCCCATTACACATGAGGACACGGAGCCACAGACATGTCAAATAACTTGCCTAAGGTCATGCAACGAGTAACTGATGAGCCAGCGTCAGAGCCAATCCATCTGATCCAAGAACCCATGCACTCAACCACCACACTACCCTGAGGTGTCAGTATTGCAGAATGTGAAGGAATAAGGGAAGGTTGAAAATTCTGTATTTCATACTCCCTGATACAGCTACAGCCAGACTCTCTTACTCTTCCCTGCTCCTGTCCTGCGTAGTCCCACTTCTCTGCCTTCAGTCATGCTCCTCCCTCAATTAGGATGTCTTGTCAACGTCTCTGAAAATCTAAGTTGTACCAGTACATCAAGACCCTTCTCAAAATCTGTTTTCTACGAATGCTTTCCCTGCCTCAGGTACTCCTGAATTTTTTGCATTTCCTTAACACTTAAATATACAGGGGCGCCTGAGTGGCTCAGATGGTTGGGTGTCTGCCTTCGGCTCAGGTCATGATCCCAGGCTCCCTGCTGGGGGTGGAGCCTGCTTCTCCCTCTTCCTCTGCCTGACGCTTCCCCCTGCTTGTGCTCTCTCTCTCTCTCTCTCTCTCTCTGTCAAATAAATAAAATCTAAGAGAACAAAAACAAACAAAAATACACTTAAATATACAGTTTGAACCAAACTGCCTTACCTTTGCCTTATAATTCTTTTTACAGAAGACATGTTACTCCCCTGCTTAAGTGCCTCAAACGTGGCATTTAGAATAAAATCAGGGTCTCCTGGTGGCTCAGTGGGTTGAGGTTTCCAACTCTTGATTTCAGCTCAGGTCATGATCTCAGGGTCATGAGATGAGCCCCTTGTCAGTCTCCACACTCAGCGTGGAGGCTGCTTGAGATTCTTTCTCTCCCTCTGCCCCTCTCCCCGCTTGCATGCATGCACGCTCTCCCTCTCTCTCTCTCTCTCTCAAAATAAATAATAAAATCTTTAAAAATAAAATAAAATCAGAGGCCCCCACAGAGCAGGGCAGCCCTTTCACAACTTCTAACATTTATTTTTTTCCGATTCCACGGATACAGGTCTTGTTTCTCTCCCACTAGGTTGGAGACACCTCAAGAACAGGAACTGGTTCTTCCAATTCTTTTGTTTTCTTGTGTTCTTTCATTATTGGACCCTTTACTGTATGGCAGTGACAGGTTTTGGAACCATAACATGCCTAGGGAGTGTTACAGAAGAGAGGATATGGTTCAGCAAATCTCTCCAGAATCTAGTGTCTACAGAATGAAAAATCATCAGCGATACCTTAGCCTCACTTTCAGTACTTGACACATCCTCCCTGCTTTCTCTTCCTTCTACCAGCCACTCACCACTGAGCACATCTGCCATCACTGCAGACCCTGCTCCTGCCTTCCCTGTGGCCAGAGAGCCTCTGTTTTCTAACACACAACACCCACACGCCCCAAAGGTGGCTAAACTCTGTTTTCAGAATTTCTCAGCAGTTTGACATGAGCAGTAGGAGAGGGTGACCACAAGTAAATTTTTCAGTTAAATGCAGGATGGGTCCTAATGATCACATGTGTATCAATGATGCAATTTTTCAAGCAAAAGAATAATATACTTTATGAAAGGGACAAAGACCACGATCTTTCAAGAAAGCTTTTCTAAGACTTTCTACATTTGCAGTTCTTTTATTTAAATCTCAGTCTGGTGACAATGTGTTTAAGGAGTGGTAAGTTGGAGGTTTGGGGGCTATTTTTTCTGCCTCTGTAGCTGTTTAAAAAGTTGCAGAGGCCAGTTGCTGAGAGTCCCCACTTCTTGCAGCACTTCCGTTCCCCGAGCGCCCTTGTATTACCAGAAAATAACAAGCAAAATAACAGTTTGGGAATTGATTGGGTGTTGAGAGTCCATGGACAGTCGAAGTGCAGAGGTGGCCACGCGCCTGCACAGTGGTAGCTTCCTGGCTCCCTGCAAACCCTGCCCTGGGGTCCTCTTGCTTCTTTTTCTCTGCTTCTCTCCAGCACTCCCCTCTGACGTGAGCAGTGGAAACAGCTCACATTGTAGCCTCAACTCATCAACATCTCTGACTCTCCCTTTTGCCTGCTGGCTTAATTTATTTTGACTGTCCAAATGTGTGCTGTCAGCCACTGTCCCTTGAGACTGTCCCCGGCACCGAATGGAACCATCCTGCCTGGGCTGGGTGTTCTTAAGCAGGCCCCATGTCTTTCCTCCCTTTTCAAGGCCTCTGGAAAATCATTTTACAAACTCTGCCTTTGTGTTCTTCCTCTTGTAATTGTTTCTTTCACTTGTTCTAGGTGAGAAGCGCCACTGCTTTGACGTCAACTATAATCCCAGCTATATGTACGAGAAAGAGAGTGAGATAATACAGACCCGGATGATGGACCAAGCCATCAATAATGCCATCAGCTATCTTGGTGCCGAAGCCCTGCGCCCCTTGGTCCAGACCCCACCTGCTCCCACCTCAGAGATGGTTCCAGTTATCAGCAGCATGTATCCCATAGCCCTCACCCGTGCCGAGATGCCAAATGGTGCCCCCCAGGACCTAGAAAAGAAGAATATCCACCTGCCAGAAAAGAGCCTGCCTTCTGAAAGAGGCCTCTCCCCCAACAATAGTGGCCATGACTCCACGGACACTGATAGCAACCATGAAGAACGCCAGAATCACATCTACCAGCAAAATCACATGGTCCCCCCTAGGGCCCGCAATGGGATGCCACTTCTGAAGGAGGTCCCCCGCTCTTATGAACTCCTCAAGCCCCCACCCATCTGTCCAAGAGACTCCATCAAAGTGATCAACAAAGAAGGGGAGGTGATGGATGTGTATCGGTGTGACCACTGTCGAGTCCTCTTCCTGGATTATGTGATGTTCACTATTCACATGGGTTGCCACGGCTTTCGTGACCCTTTTGAGTGTAACATGTGTGGGTATCGAAGCCATGATCGGTATGAATTCTCGTCTCACATAGCCAGAGGGGAGCACAGAGCCATGCTGAAGTGAACATCTGGTCCCAGAGATGATTGACGTCTGAGCATTCGACATCATTTGTAAAAACCAACACCCCACCTAACAAGTTATTCTCCGAACAAACTCAGTTCCGAACTCCTCTCCATACCATTTTTAGTGTCCAAAGGGTCATGTTCACATGGGCAAAAGGGAAACGCTGTCTTCATTCAGAAATTGTTTGCAGATATATCATGTTATCATTTTTGTGAAACATTTGTTTTCTCATCAGGGACTTGAATTTTTATGATATTTAAAAGCCAATGAAGTCTTTGGTCATTATCTTTTGCAGCAATGGAACAAGCGGTCCTTGGAGTTTGTTGCCAGTCAAAAGAGTCCCCCAGTTGTGCTGCATGAGACATTCTTTCTGAGATACGTCCGTGGAAAAGCCTTTTGGTCATACGCCAGTTCCACAAAGAAGAAGAGCTCACCAGCTAACCTCACTGGGAAGCCACACCCTTCTGCACTTAACACAGGCTGGAAGTCTAGGATATAATCTCCTCATCCCAAATTAGAGTCTAATAGTAAGGAAAAGAACAGCCATAAAATAAGTATCTGTTATCAGTTACTGAAGACGCCAGTCTCCAAGCATCAGACCCATTTCTTATCACACAATGAAAAAAAAAAATCAAGTCATTTGATGATACTTCTGTTTCTACCCTTTTACCCTCCCATAGCAATTAAAAAGCTGCTTTGGGTTAAACCAATCATCATAGGAGGAATTCTATACCAGAAGAACTAATGGTTTTAAACATAGACCATAACTGAAACTCCACAAAGTCGTCCGCTATGGCATTTATGTTCTGTGATCAAGACTGGCAGAACTGGACTCTGAGGGGGAGATGATTTAGCAGCACCCCGGGAGGAGGGGGGGAGAGCTACTTGAAAGTTCTTGGTCTCCTTCATGGAGCATTAGTATACAGACCTAAAGCAAACTTGCTGATGATTTTTTTTGACAGAAAACAACCAAACAATCCAAAAAGCATGAACTATTCTCCCCCTCCCCACAGGAGCTTCCTGAAGAAGTAAGGAGGGGCGCACCTCTGCTGACAGGTTCTCCGTGATCAAGCTGGGTGGATTTTTCTCCCCATTTTAAGTGGAGCTGCTGTATGCCAGGAAGATTCCTGAAAGTCAGATCTTGGTCCTGCAGATGTATTGGGCAGCTTTGTAGTTAATTATGAGAGACATGCTCTCAAGGAAAAGTACAGGGATAATTGTAAAATTAGTACTGCAGTAGGGGGTCCCAAAATCTGTTTGTGAATTCCATACTGGCTGCTAATTAGCTATATGACTTTGGGCAAATCACTAAACTCTTAAAACTGAGTTTCTTCAACCATAAAATAAGAGTTGGGCTTAGACACTCTCTAAGGTCCCTTCCAGCTTTAAATTTATGTGATTTATGCTGTAACCCCAGTTATCTTTTAAGCCTTTTAATGCATGGGCATCAAGCAGGAGAATATGGATATGAATACCTGTTTCACATTTCTTTGGTGTGCAAATGGTAGTGTTAAATTTTTCCTTTAACCACTGAGTCATGAATGTGAAGAGGATGGTGGGGAGGAACAAAAACAGGAAGGTATTTTGATCTTGCCCCAAAGTGTACACACAAAGTGGCACCTGCAGCTGCTTTGCCAAAGCCTTTTTTTTTTTTTTTTTTCCTTTTTAAGAACTGGTGTTAGCGAAAATAAACTCTGCTTCCAGGGACAACTTCATGGAACCTATTTACAAATGAAGAGTAGTTTTGTGCACATTTCTACCAGAGTCAAGAATCCCCAGTTCCTGTTAGATTCGCATTTTATGTACGTGCCTTGGTATTTCGAAAGGGCTTAGGCATTAGACTCAAACTCAACTAATTTATGTGCTGCCAGTAATTAAAATGTTCTGCCCCAGACTGCACAAATGGCTTATCCTTCTTTGTAGCATGGCGTCTGTCTCAGGAAAAAAGATTTTGTGAAATTCCGTGGTAACAGTCCCAACATGTTTGAGATTTCGGCTAAAAGACTAGATGTATTTCAGTGCATAGTCTTCAGCATTTCGCTGTTTCCGTAATCCTAGACTCCAAGCCACGCCAGGTTGCTGACACCCACTGTGGCAGAGGGGCTGCTTATTATACTCTTGAAATGCCACACATCTTATTGACTTTCAGGGGACAAAAGAAAGAGCATTTGGAAGCAAGAATTAGTTGGAGAGAAAGCTGGGGAAAGCAAGCATTTCCAACAGATTAGTGGGAAAGTCTTTCTGAAGAAACCAGCTTTGGCACCTTAAGATAGTGAAAGAGGCCCACCCCACTGACCTGGGGACTTTTTTGAAGACATGACCCTCATTTTCCCTGTGACTAACAGATTTTCTGAATGATTTTCATTCGTCTGAGATCAGTTTTTTAAGTGGGATGACCACTCACAACTGCTACTTTCACTGTAGCATTCTGGGCCTAGATTGGGGCACACCAAGTCCAGAGAAAGTTTATATGTGCAAACTCCACATTTGTAAATTGTAAAGTTGAACCAGGTAGTATGTAGTGGTGGCCACCACACTGGTAAAGATTTCCTTCTGTAGGCACCACTTATACCAATAAATGCCCCTTCCCCTTGCTGGGGGTGTGGGGGGAGAGGGTGAAGGAGAATCTTAGCACAATCGCTTAGAGAGAGGGGCAGAGTCAGGATTCACATCCGACCATGCTGGACAGTGAGGTCCTGCAGCAGCTTCAGACAGCACATTTCCTTTCTCAGTCAGAGTCCCTCTGACATGAGCCTTGTAGGTCTGATCTGTCCGTCATTTCCCACCACACACCCAGGAGGCCACAATCTGGGGGAACAACCAACCCCACGAAAAGTTCCCTTGCAGCCAAGGTGACAGAATTGGGGTAAGGGGGAAAGGGAAGAGAACTGGCTCTCCAGATGTTCCTCATCACCCCACTTGAATTGTTGCACAGGTATTTCCTACTGGCAGAGAACTAAACAGAAGTGTCTCTCCCATTACCCTCCACCACCACCACCAGGGGAAGAAAAGATATTGATAAATCCACCAGCCTTTAGCTTCCCTAAGTCATTCTCCCCAAAAGATACTTGCCTTGACACAGATAAGCTAACTAATCTTATGCCTTATTACCCATTCTGAGCTGTTCCTGACTCAGCTTCTGACTTTGTCAGTGACAACATTTCTCAGCTTTTTAAGGCAGCGCTTAACATTTCGCTAGGCCCATACTCACAGTGGCCCAGACATAAAGTGACCTCAGATTTCTTTTGCAAAGAAAAAAAGCACAAAATTTTGCTTGGTTGAAACACTGTGTTACGAACAAATCTCACACCAACATAAGGTTTTTCCAAGTAGTCTCTGTATCACTGTTCTTATTCTCCTCCTCTGCTTTTTCCCCTCTGCTAAATGTGAGGTTTACCATGTTTTAAAGGAAAAAGCAGTATTGCTGATACATATCCCAGCACAGGCAGTAAGACTGTAATGGAAATGTTAAATGCTTAGAGTCCTAACTTTAAAGTGTACCCCACAGGGAACTGGTCCGTTGGTCTCTAGTGGAGATTTGGAAACTCGAGGCCACTCAAGATTTGAATCCTCAGAGATAGCCAAGTTCTTTCACAAAGACTTGGAATTGAGATTTATGAGCTCAAGAAAAGAAAGTGGAGTGAGGAAAATCTTGTCCTAGAAAATACCATCAGGCTATGCGGAAGAAGATGAGAAATACACAATGATATGTCTTCTCTTTTAAAGAATTGGGAGCTATTTTTATGCTCAGTATAGATCAGAGAATCTCTCTCTTTAGGCAGAATTCAGAAAAACAGAATGGATTTGGGATTAAGTGCCTGTAAAGAAGACAATTTTGGCCTGAAACCAAAGGCTAGACCCGGGCCACCGTAGGAAAAGGATTCTGTTTTCTAAAGCGAAAGGACTGAATCGTTCTGCAAATGACCAGTGAACCCAGAGCTGGGCACTGCTGCCTCTAAGGACCATGGACTCAGAAGAGCCTGCAAGAGAAGTGTAGGCTTTCGACTTGTGTGAGCTCAGAACATAAGACTATAGCTCCATTCACCCAAGCTGTAGATAGTGTGTACCCCACCATGCTGTCAACATTAGATAAACAGGTCTTTGCACTTTGAAAAAGTTGAATGCAAATTTCCTCTGAATATTACAAGACTGGACTGTCATATACATTGATGTTGACTGAGCTGTCATTTGAAAATGGAATGTTAATGTCTTGATTAAAAAATGTAAGGACATAGTGTCTACCTCCTGAGGATGTTACGAGGTTTTATGTAATTTTGTCTATGGGATGATGTTACTTGCGGGGGCAGGGTGGATGGTTACAAATTTTCCACTCTATGTATTGTATGTGGATTTAAAGACATGGAGATATTCAAAGGCCATAATAGGACCATGATTCAGTAATTCAGTAGCCAGTGGAGGCCTCTGATCTCTAGCACACAGTTTCCTTCATGTTATTTTAATGTGTGAAAGTAAAGAATATGCTGACAATTAGAACCAATACAAGTGAACCTCATGCTAAAGACACTTCATGGCATTGCAGCCAGGGAAGTAGGAATGGCTTTGCTCCCTCCCTGTCTCATGAGCTCTCGATTATTAACTCCCTGAGTAACTTAGAGTCTCCTCAAATGGTCCATTTGTCTCTTGACCATCTGTTGTCCATCTCCCTGTTGACCCTACTCTAGAAAGCCTGGAGAGCATCCCATAATGTCACCCACCTCTTCGCAAGCCTGTGGGGCCTAGCTTCTGAAGTTGCTTTGCTTCTTCCTCTCCTAAAAAGACTGAGAACAAACATTTTAAAATATTAGGAAAATGGGGCAGCCTTAAAAATGATCCCATTGCCAGTGACTCATTTATACAAGGACTTTTCCAGGTTAGCAGACAAAACCCTTTTTGGATGGGCCTGCTTCTGTGGGTTCACAGAAACCAAATTACTGTGGGTTGCAAAGAATTAGCAGGTCATTTGAAAAGCAGACATCCCTTCACCCAGACTGTGGTTTTGC